AATTTATATTTAAATTAAATTATATATACATAAAATTCTCACACTTTGTCTCATACTGACAGAATAATAGCTTGATTGGAAATAAGGCCCAACGTATGATCTGTATAACATTTACCTTTATATTTAGAACTTTATATTTTTAAGCACAGATCATATGTCATAATTCATTTTAGGTCTTTCCCTTGCTGACAAATAATACAAAATGATGATTCATATTTTTTATGAAGGATTTTCATATTTTAGATCAGTCAAGCCAGAGCCAAGATTTTTTAATGTGATATTAATATAACTAAAAGACAAGGTTGAAATCAAATCTTTTTGTGTTTACATAATTACTCACTTACTTACATTTAAATGTAATTTTAATAAAAATCAACCCTTGGAACACAAAAGCACTCAAAGCCAAAGAAACACCCTTATATACCATGATCCAGTGGGGAACCGTCAGGGCCCTCTAGGCCCTCAGAGAGGGCCTAAACTATTGTAAACAATATTTACAATTTTAAAATATTTTTTTAAATGACAAACTTTTCAATATTATTTTTTATAAAAAGTCATAATTTCCAATTTTACTTAAACAATTCATAATTTCACAATCATCATCTAAATAAAATAAATACAATTTATGTAGAAATAAACTCTTCAAATCTGCCTATTCAGTGAATGCGTTAAATGAACTCCGCCCATTTTCTCCATATTAGAATGTTTCCACCTAGCGTTTGCGGCTCTGTGATTGGTGGTCCAGCTATGCAATTACAGAGGGCCAAGCAATAGTAAATCAATGGGAGCGTAATTTTAAATGACAGGAAAAAATGACCAATCATATCTTTCCTCTAAATGGGCGGGCCTTGTTATCACTAACTTTATGACCAGTTCCGCCCACTGTGGGATCTCTATCGAAAAAAAATATATACGCTGATAAACTAACTAGCTATTATTCACGTCACGATGGAAGCCGCAAATAACGTAAATGAGGACATTTACTGGGCCGCTGTGCCAATAATAATATTATTTAATATAAACACTGCTTGTTTGTAATGAAGTGTCTGTTGCTAAGTTGTTTTGCTGTAAGCGCTGTCATGATGTGTTGGCTTACATTTAACATTACGTTTGTTGGTTTTGTGCACAGACCGATTGTGTGATGATGCATTTGTAATGAGGATTTTCACTTGATCAGTCACTCTTGCTGCGCTGTTTTCTTGTTGCATTTCTGAAAGGCGGTCGCACACCAGACGAGAAGCGCAGAGCCGCCACTGTGCGTTGCGTGACTCTAGGGCAACTTATAGCACACCGGACGAGTCGCGTTCAGTTCGAGATGGCAGTCCAAAACCTTTAATCTGCTCTCCAAACAGTCAAACATTCACTTCAAGAATGAGCAAGTAGTGTCAATGAGTTTGAAGTTCGGTGATTAAAAAAAGAACAGAGCAAACAGAATGAGAAAGTGCGGTCAAAGCACGGAGGCCGGTGGTGTAGAAAACAATGTATTGGAATATTAAAGACATGGTGTGGCGCAGCACTGCGCTTCTCATCCGGTATGTGACCGCATTAAGGCTGGAATAGCCTCTAGTTTCAAAGGTGGAATTGTCAAAGATGACTTTTAGAATTAGACTCTGTAAACTAGGCTGGTAGTCTGTTTTCCACCCCGACGAGGGTAGGGGGAGAGGGCCAAGGTTCAAAAATCACGTTTCGCTACTGCCATGATCCCAGTTCTATCTCCAGACAAACATTCAAAGGATTACTAAAGGCAGAGCTCAGATTCAGTAGCCAGGCAGAATGAGATCTAGACCGAGTGTGTGAGTCTATATGAGCGTCTCTGCTCTATACAGGCTGGTATGCACAACTCAGTGTGAGGCATGCGAATGTAAACAGCAGTGATATACAACAGGTCCAGCTGGCAAACAGACAACTGTGTGCTTGTGTCATCATCATGTCTAACGCTGGTGTCCCTTTCACGCTTGCTTAGGGCCCTTTCACCTAAAGAATGAGGGTAAGAATGTGGGCCTAAATATGACAGCCCGCCCCACTCCTCAGTCATTTCCATCTCATTTCTCCTTCCCCCTCCCTTCAAATCCGATCATCCTCCCCCCTCCATGATCCAGAGCCATACTCATAACAACCCTTTTACAACAATGCCCTCCTAAGACCCAGACACAAAAACACACATATAGCAAACATACGTTGATTTAAAAATCAAAATGATGTTCACATTCCCCTGTGGAGTTAAACAGAGTCATATATGGCATATTATTCCTTCCTGTTCCTATTTGGCAAGAAACAAGTAATCATTCACATACAGTTCAATGTTTTTTCCAACAGGCTAGTTTCCAAACAGCATTCTTCAGATCTGCTGAGTGATGAAGAGCGCTAGAAGAACAGTAAGCTGAATCTATACTTTATTGATTCCGTTGTGGAATTTGGGCTCCTTGTTTATTCCAGTACTGTTGGGATCTCAGAGAAGGAACAAAGAAGATCCAACTGACATTCTGGTGATGAGACACATATGACAAGTGAGCTGGCAATACCCACAGGCTACCCACATCCCACAAACAAAGACATGCAAAGGCAGAAGCAGAGAGAAGACAGTGGTAGATGTTCAAATCTTGGCTCTTGAACAGTAACTTCATTTTTAGATTCTTTACTGAATGAATTGCCAGCACTTTCTTTGAGTAATCATCATAAAATTGTTGAACTTAACTCTCTTTACAGTCCTCAGCTGTGTTCCTGCTTTTCCCATCTCAGTATAGCAATATCAGAGGATGGCGAGGGCAAACCGAATGTCTGCACAGAGTGAGCTTGAGCGAGACCAAGAACAGCGCAGCACCTGAATCAACCTACAGCTTAAAGCTGAAGCCTGGATCTAGGTCTCTCAGACAGTGCATCTCATTCATGACTGAACTGTGCCAGACACCATGTGCCAATGCCACTGTATGCTCAATATCATTCAACAGACATGCATGTCATGACCCATATTTCGCAATCCCCATTTACAGTAACAGCATGGAAGCAAATTGGACCACGAGTGTGCTGGAGAAGCAAGAGTTAAATATTGAATGAGAAGAGAATATCTTTGTAAGCAGAGCAGAGAGAACAGATGCAGATGCTGCTCAGAGCTGTTAGACCTTAAGAAAATCACGTCTTTTTGTCAATACAGTAAAAAGACCGTGATAGTAACAAACAGCTTCAGGGCTTCTCAAGAGAGACAAGATATCTGGTCGCTATTGGATTTCACTGGCTGAATGTTATTGCCAGAGCGTCAGTAATGCATGGAAACGAGTCCCGAATCCCGGTCAACATTCAAAACGAATGTGCGTCCTTTTCACTATGTGGTTAAAGGGGTGGTTGACTGGGTTTTTTCTAGGCTTGATTGTGTTTATGGGGTGCAGTCTAACATGTGTTCATGCTTCGTTTTTTAAAAAACGCATTATTTTTCACATAATTTACCTTTATTCCACACCGATCTGTCCCTTCTCTAACAAATGCCTCGATTATTTCCTGTTTTTATGAAGCCCCTCCCTCAGAAATACGCGATGGGCTGAGATTGGTCAGCTGGCTCAGTGTGTTGTGATTGGCTAAACCGCCTCTACCGCGCTTCTGAACATCCCGCCCCTCAAGCTCAGAATGTGCTCCGGTTGTATTGTAAACAATGACGTCCTCTATATTGCTTATCAATTTGAGCCTGATTGAGACGCAGAGAATATTAATGAAGAGGATCGCGCAGAACCTGTGCAAGCACTGCCCTTAATGGTATGTTTGTTTGTTGTTGTCCCATACTTTTAGATACGCTGTTGCTTGTAAATGCTACTGCTTCTGTTAGCTTTTAATATATGGTTTTATTCTGATTAAAGCTTTAATACAGCACAGCAAACGTACGCACGTCCATGTATAATGCTTCTCATAGCTATGTGAAAATAAGTGTATAAATGGAACAGTTTGTTGGAGCTGATCTGACGATCTGAATGAGAGAGATGCAGAGCATGTGTAGAGCAGAGGAACGCTAGGAGGAACAGGATTGAGAACCTGCTGAATCCATTAGAATCGTTAGAAGACAGAACCGTGATTCATATATGAACAGATTTTTACGTGCACCCCTAGTACCCCGAGCATGGCCTCGCCCGCTTTGCTGCGTGTTCCCAGAGGCGGGGTTTATCTGGGTTCGTGACGTAACGGACCTGGGAATAAGCTCGTTGTAGTCCCTTACCAGTCGTTTTTGTAGGCATTAAACTGCCAGAATTTTAAAAGACGATATCGCCGTTTGCATTGAACTTTCAGCGCTGCAACTTTGCAGATATTGTTTATGCTCCAACAGCAACATTACACACTAACTAACGTTAAAAAAGTGAAATCGCAATCAACCACCCCTTTAAAATATTAAACCCGACAGAAGATCAATACGGTGTTTTCATGCGAGCGCGGCCGCTCTTTTACGCTCATAGACCCAATGATATGACGGAACGCTGCAATCCGTCAGACAGACGCAACAAATCTCACGGTGTGTGTGACACGGAATGGCGCGCGGCCGCATCTGCTTAATCAGCAGCAGCTCAGTCTGTTTCCCATTGTGTGTGTGTGAAACCCCCTCCATTTCCATGCACAACATTCTCATGTGGATACAGTGTATTCCACCGCACCGGCATTAGGGCGAACCGTATGGAGTTGCCTTCATAATCTAATGTAGCCTATAACCTAATAGGCCTCTATGTATGTATGTAGGTATACATGCATGCATGTATGCATATATCTATGCATGCATCTATCTATCTATCTATCTATCTATCTATCATTCATAATCAGGGAGGATAGTGAATGTCATATAGCGCTCCCCCTGTCATTTAGGTCAACCATGAATAGGCGATTTTATAGCTATTGCATTATGGTTATTTGCTCAAAGCCACTTTAGTGATAAGGGGTTTGAGAGCTTCACCATCTGCATGCTGGTCACGCTCGTGAAGAATATACGGTTATTTGTGTTACATGTGTAGCGATCGTGTCAAACCTCTCACCTTCATATCATTGACAATCGCCTGGAATAATCCACCAAGCGCGCCGCACTCCTTCTCCACCGACTCCAAATTTATATTATCCATCCTCAGTGAATATCCTTCTGTGAAATTACTTCCACAATATCCAGACGAGACGTGTGTGAGAGTGTTTTTTGAGAGCTAGATTTCAGCAGAAATCGTTGCGTCTTCAGCTGTCGGTTTGCCCAGAGGATTGAGGCAGATGATGGGGAGAGACAAGAGAGAGGTGGGTTACTCTCTCTCTCACTCTCTCTCTCCTCGGCTCTGGTTCTACTCTCCGCGGTTGGTGGAGGTTAGGCTCGTGGATGGCCCCGCAATAGTCACGGTCATCTTCGGACAACGATGCGGAATCGAGCTGAATGGATGTGAGAAGCGGAGTGCGCCACCCGCCCGGCAGAGACAGCTGAGTGAGTGTACAGAGTAGCAGCCTCGCAATGCGAGAGAGCCAGTAACTCGATCCATGCGAATCGTATTGAGCAGAACCGTTACTCTTGTCACATGGAGGCCAGAGGGAGGAGGGAAGAGAGAGGGGACACAAACACACAGACCGACCGATGCGAGTTATTCTGTCTGAATCTGAAACTAATTTAACTGAGGTCTGAAACTAATTTATTGTGCATCTTTTTTTATATATATATAAAATAGTAGTAGTAGGCAACTTGTCATATTGAATATTGTTGTGTGTATCCAGTTGAGTATGATCAGTGCCTGAAACTATTAAAGGAGTAGTTTTACCCTATTGTAAAAGTCATAGAGGTTTGGAACGACATGAGTGTGAGTAAATGATAACAGAATTGTCATTATTGAGTGAACTGTCCCTTTAATGAAAACCATATCAGTTTGGATATAAAGGGTGGGATTCAATCTGCATATTCAGGGACTTCATTAATGCCAAAGTTGTTCTGTGATAAATGATAATGAAGCTGAAATGAGATTTCCTGATTATGTCTTGCTGCTGTGATAAAGACCCAATCATCTTGTTCTCTTGCCACAGTGGAAAGGGGGAGAATGACGCCCTCTCTTAAAGATTCAAAACCAAGGTCACGGAGCCTGAGTGGTCATTGTCTACAAAACCGGGTGTCACATTTACAGAAATAGTTTTAAGGTCTCTCCCTCTAAACTCTTTTGGGAATTCTCTTACATTACATCTCTGCTCTGCTTTTTGCAAGAATTAAGTCAAGACACTCATCCCGCCTCCCGCCCCTCAAGCTCAGAATGTGCTCCGGTTGTATTGTAAACAATGACGTCCTCTATATCAATTTGAGATTTGAGCCCGATTGAGACGCAGAGAATATTAATGAAGAGGATCGCACAGAACCTGTGCAAGCACGGCTCTTAATGGTATGTTTATTTGTTGTTGTTCATAGCTATGTGAAAATAAGTGTATAAATGGAACAGTTTGTTGGAGCTGATCTGACGATCTGAATGAGAGAGATGCAGAGCATGTGTAGAGCAGAGGAACGCTAGGAGGAACAGGATTGAGAACCTGCTGAATCCATTAGAATCGTTAGAAGACAGAACCGTGATTCATATATGAACAGATTTTTACGTGCACCCCTAGTACCCCGAGCATGGCCTCGCCCGCTTTGCTGCGTGTTCCCAGAGGCGGGGTTTATCTGGGTTCGTGACGTAACGGACCTGGGAATAAGCTCGTTGTAGTCCCTTACCAGTCGTTTTTGTAGGCATTAAACTGCCAGAATTTTAAAAGTCGATATCTCCGTTTGCATTGAACTTTCAGCTTCGTAACTTTGCAGATATTGTTTATGCTCAAACAGCAACATTACAC